GTAGTAGTAGTAGTAGTAGTAGTAGTAGTAGTAGTAGTAGTAGTAGTAGTAGTCGTCGTATCATTATCGTCATTAATATTCGCGGAAGGGAAGGCAGGGTTCTCGGCGAGTCTTTTTCACTCTAGTATTATAGAAGGCTTGAGCAAAGACAAGATTGAAGCACATCGACAGAGAAACATAAGGGCTGGCTAGTGCTAGGAGAAGGCAGGAGAGCCAGACATCCAGTTTTGTTTCAGAGCCTTTTTAAAGTTTTAGTAGAGGTTTTACGGCGCTCGCAACTGCATACGGTCATATGAGCGCCAGAAGATTAGAGGTGTTACAAGAGAGTAACGAACATTAAAAAAAAGAAGGAGGGGAGATACGGACGACAGATGTTTAATAGGAAAGAAGAAGCAAACCACACCAGAGCATCCGCCAACCACCCACTAGGAGAAAGCAGAAGAACCAGATAATCTAGTTTCGTTTCAGAGCTTTACGTCACTCGCAATACAAAAATAGGCCATATTAAAAGTGCCAAAATAGGGATTACTTTATTTAGTTTTAATAAGAGTTTTACAGCACTTGCAACGTAACAAGATCATACCGTCAAAGAGTAGATGTGTTACAAGAGAGTATCAAGCACAAAAAAGGAGAAGAGATACAGAAGAGAGATACGGACGATAGGCGTTTGATAAGAAAGAAGGAGCAAACCACACCAGAGTACCCGCCATCCACTCACGGACAAAGGCAGAGTAAAGAATATCATTACGTGAAATAGAAGAAATACGGGTTAGGAGGACTTGTGGTTTCTGCTATGGCCAATGAGACTAACTCTGGCAGACGAGAATACTTGGCCTCGTTTTGAGCACTGACCAATCAGGACCTATTAATGGCGCCCCAAAAACCACCCGTTGAACAGGACCTAGTGAGCGGCTTCCTTTGGAAGTAGGCCAGAGCAGAAAGCAGTATTTGAGATGGCGGTAGTGCAAAGAGGTTATATATATATATACACTACTGGAGCTCGCGGCAGTGACGTCACACGTGTCAGACATGGGTCCCCTCTTGCCCTCATAGGCATGGCCGGCGCGCCCCCATTGACACGAACCATCTGAGTCCCCATACCGCTCCACATAAGCTCTAGTGTAATACGTAACACCGTCCAGACCCCATAATTATATGAGTGCAAGCTGGAAGCTTTCCTCCTAAGACCGCCTTGACGCCTCGACGTGAGTCCCGAAAAGTACTCACCCGTCTGTTAATTGTGCATGTCCTACTCTTGAGGTTCAGCATCCCATATTGGCCGCACGCAGCCCCCGTTCGTTTTCGTGGGGGACATCACTGCCATGAACTCTACTACTAAATTTAACCTCTTTGGGGTAAGGGCAAAAGTGACGTAAACAGTTGTTTTTTTTGAAGTTTTAGTAGAGGTTTTACGGCGCTCGCAACTGCATAAGGTCATATTAGCGCCAAGGGGTGGATGTCAAAAGAGAAATCTTTACAGGGAATCAGGCTTACTCTGCTCACCTCTCTAGCTTCAACAACACAAAGTCTGCTTCGACTATCAAGGCATCCCGGGAATAGAAATGGTATAGGTTTGACGCCCTTATCAACACTATTACCCGGGAATCGCGGGTCACAAGAGTGTGACAAAACATACACAAGAAATAGAGGGCAAATGACGATAGTAAGGACTAGACAAGAAAAAGCAGCAGTTCCCTGTTGCAGTCTAGGCATAGTTATGAGCATGACATTGTTGAATCAACCCATTTACAATTTTACTGTGCATAAGAACAGGTTAATCTCCCCCCCCC